TTTTCACCACAAACTGTTGACATGTATTATAGGTTGGAAAGCAATGGGTGGACGTGGACTAACACCAATAGCGTATTCAATAGAAAACAATTTCGAGGATGTAAATAGTAACAGACGACCTTATGAGCAGCCTTCATCTTAAAATTTTCTTAAAGGTCCAGGAGAAAATATTGTAGGACTAACCTGACAGTTCTGTTTGCGCATGTGTGAAAAAAAGCATAACAAATTTAAAGTTGCATGCCTATAACTTTGTCTTTTAGCAAAAAGTCGAGTAAAATGTAGAAAACATGTTAATACCACCTACTCAATGGCGGTGGAATGCGTCAAGGCTACGGACAGACCAGATTTCGGTAAATGCAAAGACATAGCAGAAACGTGTGAATCGGGTACATGTTTTTGAAGACATGGAGATGAGACTGTGATAGGTGAACAAATATGCAAAATCAAACGAACATCTTTGATAACTTTTGGAAAGGGTGTTTACGGCTAGCTCTACTTTTAAAAGAATTATCAAGAATAACTTATACAGAAATAAAGCGTGCTTATCAGTATGATCTAGTAATGAAGAACACTAAGAATAACGGACACTACGAAGTAAATATACCGACTTTAAGCTAAAGCTGCGCCACAATTTGAAGAATATATAAAAGCTGCCTAAGGCGTCTAACAGTTTGTATATTTCGAGTTGTGTGAAACTGAAATGCACATAGAAAAGACCATCAATTTGTTATAAGTCACTAGTTAAATGCAAAAGTTCCATCAATATAAAATAAAACTTCAAGGTGGTGCGCGGCAGTCAAACAGCAAAACGACATACCTCAACCAATTTTATGATACTCGTTTTCGCTCCATCGCTGATCAAGGCGCAGAGACGAGTCAAAACCACCGGAGGTGGAGGCACCAGCGTAGTTCCTTGCATGACGCTTACGGAACCAGGGAGAAGAAGCCGAATAATCTCATCCTTAAGCGCCGCCATTGATCGAAAATGCTCGAAAGCGTTATCGGCAGCAGAACCGGCTTCAATACCGCTGCCACCAAGAGCGCCAGATTCTATAAATCCGACCTTAACAGCCCTTGTCAAGGCGCGGCGGTATAGAGGACCCATAGTCAAAATAACTGATCGCAGAAGGCTTGAAAGTGGAGGCTCTTGATGGAGTGACAGGTTGAAAAGGTGAGAGAGGCAGCCAATTGACTTGAGCAGTAGGCCGGCATCGACAAGACTGTGGAAGTTAAGAAAACAGTAGGATGACGAAATAAGTGTGTAAAAGCAAAACGTTTTTCTTCTCAATATACAGTCACAAATAACAGAGGAATTTTGCATATGCATATTCGCATTAAGTTAACAGAAATATTTCTCACCATGCATCCTCGATAAATTTAACTATGAATTTCTTTATAGCCAAATTTGGATAATGTTGAAAGGCCACGACTTCCTAGTAAGGACGAATTAAAATCGCAAAAGAAAACGAACCTCAAAAAAATTGTCCAAAAGAGAACTGTCATATTTGGTGATTAGTTCCTTAACCTGCTGTAAATTGTTCAATTTTTCCGTATCATCCAGAGATAAGGTTGCTTTGCGGAGAAGCCCTGCGACCTAAAATATTTAATGTCAAGTAACTCATAAGGCGTACCCTCTCGAATTGACCGGCGGGCATGTTTAACAGAAACTTCGCATAAGCCGCCTCTACTTATTCCGAGAACGACTCTACTACCTAAAGCTTATTGGCAGACTTCGACGAATAAGGTAAGGGTATGCTATTCAGTTGTCCGCGTGTGTGCGGGTCATTTGATTATTAACTTGCTGTGGTTCCGATGCAATGTAAAACTAAGGCACGAACAATATAACTTATTACAAGACGAAATGTCAGTGTGCCTCACAATCGCTAAAATTCTTGCTCTAGTTCCATTCATTCTTATGTACCGACCACCGCGGACAAACAGTGATACAGATGCGCGTTTCTGGTATGCATAAAGGAGATAGAAAGTCGACCTGATGTTGTACTCATGGGTGACTTCA